TGATGACTTAGTGAACGCGATAAAATAGTGCTTTTCCAGAGCTACGTTAATTAACCAGATGGTATATTTACCCAATTTACCCTGCTTGTAAGTGGCTATTATAGGTGACTGAGAGCCAGTGTTTGGTGACAAAAACATATATTGTTACCTCTTTATCTACCTATTTCACCACCTAAACATGGGTGTTGGAAGCAAACCTGAATATCTTAGGAAAGAAATGGTTTCACCCGAAAAAGTGGAGGTTCACCTATAAAAGTTGTGGTTCAATCAACTGGTTTTGATTCACCAACTGGATCTATGGATTGGTCGTCCGGCTTGTCCCATGAAGAAATTTCAGGATTGTGGATATTTAGCACCTCAGTTTTCGTGGAAATACCAAAGTTTCAAACCCTGCGGACACTTCTAAGAAACACTCCTAGTTGGAATGATCTAAGCCATAAATGACCAAATGACCAATGTCCCAACCAGAGACTCTCCGATGGTAAGCTGTTGGAAATCCCTCCCCAAGACCCCACAGTTGCATAGCGCAACGAGGCAGTTGAGAAATGCGAACTCTTGGAGAGTTGCGAGGCGGGGCCACATAGCAACCCCCAAAAAAATTGTTGGTAAAGTCGGATTCTAAAACAGTGGCAAATTAAATTACTATGTTACTAATGTCAACCCTGGATTAATAAACCCCTAGGCTGTTCAATTGGGAGGGTACCATTTATGTACCATATTGTGACTATTTGGAGGGTACCCCCTAATTAATAAACCATGGTTTATTAATCCGGGTTCATATTATAAATGTATGGAAATATGTTCAGTGAATCAGCTATGTTCAGTTTTTTTTTTTCGTTCTAGGTATTTTTGTTGCCGTTTCAAAATATTAACCTAAACCCACCATGGCCATTTTTTTGTTGGCGGGGCAAAGATTTTTGCATAGCAGCTCTACAGTTGGAAGAGACCATCGGATTTTCCGAAAGCACGTCTTGGGAATCCCCATGATTATTGGGAAAGCCCCAAATAGGGATAGAATTGCGGATGGAACTGGATAATAGGGTTGGTTATTATATTATCATTACATGTATATATATATAATATATATATATACATAATCATAGTTATACAGTTATACATATAATTTTGCTATAATACATGTTATATATATATATAAAGTTATATAACCCAAATTCCTCAAATCATCTATACATCGAGCATGTTCCGCAGCGGAAATCGCCGGTCGGAGGCGGTGGTTGCTGCCCAGCCACCGAAGGAAAACCATCCGGATCAGGCGGATTCCAGGGTGGTCGATGGTGGTCGTGGTCGCGGCTTCGCCAAAAATAGGGATTTCACCAACAGAAATGGGGATTTACCCTCTGGTAATTTAACATAGCTATTGAAAATCACCATTTATAGTGGATTTTCCCATTGAAAATGGTGATTTTCCATAGTTATGTTAGTTTACCAGAGGGTAACATGATTTACCCTCTGGTAAATTAACATAGACCCTGGCAGATAGAGGTCGGAAGATGAGTTTCACATACTGTGGATGGTTGCGGGATGGTTGAAAACCTTTTTCAATAGTGGAATGTTTACTACCTATTAACTGGTGCAGGATTTCGCAACCATCCACCGTATTTAACATGATTTAATAGACGGTCTTGGGGATTTGAAGCTTGGTTCACAAAAAACATGTTTGGTTTCTGGCATTCAACATAATTCAACATAGCTATGGAATGCTATGGACAAGTGCCCATTTGGCAAATGACACGCCATTATGATTTACCGAGCTAAAAACCATGGTGATTTTCCATAGCTACGTTCAATAGACAGGGTTGCCCCAACTCATTGTAGGGAAATGATGGCCACTTTTGGGTTGCACCTGGGGTGTTTGGAGCAACCATGTTTGGGGTAGAAGCTTGATGTATGCGTTTGTTGCACTGGTTGCGAAGGGTTGATATGGGGTTGATAAATGTTGACACTTGATGTAACTGCATGTAATTGCCATGTTTGATGAAGTTTCGGGGTTTCTTTCTGGTATGTGGGGCAGAACATACCATACCGAACATTTTTTTGGGTGGAATAACTTTACTAGTCATCAATGGTGGATGATCAGTACTACTGCAACATATTGACATATTGCAATCATCAATTTTGTTAACAACCATAAATTCTCCCCATTGAATGTTGCCAGGCAGCAGGCCTAGCGCTAGAGACGCCCTCCCAGTCTGCAGGCGTTCCCCTGGGGAATTCTGGGGACAGAGCCATGTTCGGTTTGTCCTCGGAAATGGGCTGGATGCCATGCAATCTATGGCTGTTTCAATGAGAAAATGAGGATCAATTATATTCAATTATGAGACGACCAAAACAACATTGAAACACTCAGTTTCTTGACAAAACATATCATGTGAACATGAGGAACAATCATGGCTGGCAATAGGAGGTGTTTTGCTGTTGGGTGTTTTGCCAAACATAGCAGTCGCCAGAGCCAGTCACCTGTCCCCCATTCTTGGTGCAAGATCGTACCCGCCGGTGCAAACGTAACGTGGCAACGGGTTGCAGCCCATATATTGCCATATGGAGGTTGATATGGAGACCATCATCGAACGATGCCTGTTGGATGTTCATTTGCCATGTCAGGCGGAAAGACGCCAGAAGAAGGGCAGTCTGAGGAGCCTTAGCTGTCAACATCTTTGGGAAAACCCAAACTCGGGACTGCAAATGTCCCAGTAGTAAATCTAGGAAGTTTGTCATGTCTTTTTGACAAAACAAAATCTGAACCGTTTTTTGTTGATTCAGAAAACGTCATAAACAGTGTCCTTTGAATTATGAGTTTGGTTAGTTGGAAGACTTCATTCGCAGAATCGCCCAATGGGGAACAACTCTGCAAGATCGTTCAACAGGAGGAGAATGCCAAAGTTCAGGCGAGACAGGGGAGCAGTTGAAGCTTACTCTGCAAGATCTTATCTTTAAAAATCATTAAAAATCGAGTTCCAAGAGGGTTGCAATGTTCTTATCAAACTCAGGCAGCCTTTCACCCGAATATTAATCCGGATGAATTGCATGGTCAACCACACTTGTATGATCCTTTATTTTTATTTCATACCCTGTGCAAAAGGCCTGAAGAACCAGGACATTAGGATTCTTTTTAATAATCTTGGGTCCATGGAAACGTAGGCTTGCAGACAAATGCGATGTAGCTTGCAGTTATGCCATGTAATTTGTCCGGAAATGATGACCTTGGATTAGGACATCCTATGGTAGTTCCGATAAAAAATGCATCTATAATCATATATATATATGTACATTATATATATATATACATACGCAGAAGTTTATCTTCTCTAAGTCTATATTAGATAGTGGCCATCTTCCAACATAGGAACTTGGTTGCTTCATAACTCCACGAAAGTCCCTCCTTGGCGGCTTCAATTCACGCTTGAACTCAGGTGTTTTGGTTGCGCAACCATGGTTGCAGGGTTAAACCCCCATGATTTTGGTTGGTCAAATGGCTAAACCATTGTTTTGTCCTTTTGTTTCAACCATGTTAGGAACTTAAATATATGTTTCCATTAGCTAAACTCAGTCAAACCATGTCAAACCCAGCTTTTCGACGTGTCCTTCAAGCATTTCAATTATTCGAAGCATTTATCCCAAAAGAGGATTTTAATTCAACATAATTCAACATGCAATCAAATGGGATAAAACATCGGGTTTTTTTCACATGATACAACTCAAATTGACCATTCAATTTCAATCCATGTCATATTGTAATATGATTAGTAATATGATTTAGTGATATGATTATACTAGTATAAATTAACCATTAGTAATAGCATTAGCAATCATATCACTAAATCACTATATTGGATGACCATTATTTGGATTAACCACTATAATATAATTTAGTTTTTAAATTAACCATTAGTAATATCATATCACTAGTATTACTAACCATATTGTCAATAGTATATTTATATTACTAATGGTTAATTTACCATATTATTTAGTGATATGATTAGTGATATAATTGTCATCCAAAAAAAACTACCCTCTGGTAAACTAACATAACTATGGAAAATCACCATTTTTAATGGGAAAATCCACTATAAATGGCCATTTTCAATAGCTATGTTAAATTACCAGAGGGTAAAGCAATGCTTCAGGTGGACATGCCAGGAGTGGTGGAGCCTGACAGGCCTGACAGGTCAGAGGCGCGATGCAACAATCGGAACCCGGAACCCGGAACTGTTCGAGCTCCGCGGAGCACGAAGCCCAACGATTTTCCCGTTTTGAAATCATTGTTTTAGATAACCAGAGGGTAACCCATTAATGTCCCACTAAATCCACATTAGATTCCCATGACATCACCATTATCCAATGACATTTCCCATGATATGGCTATGGATCAATACCTATTAATACCATTTTTAGGGGGATGAACATCCATAAATCCCAGCTATTTTGATGTGAACAGAAGGGGTACTATTGGTTTTGACACACTGCCAAATCATTGTTTTAGATGATTTATTCAGTAACGGTATGTTCATATTTTATAGACATATATGATATTTTATAATAGTAATTATATGTTTAAACATAAACTTCTGATCAATATAATACTGTTGTGATTTTACTATCCTCATATCATGTTTGTGATGTTTGTGTCATTTAACTACTGTACTTAAATTGCATGTTGGGAGTATACCCCGTGGTTTTGGAGAATGTTTTGGATGAACCCATGTCTGGCACCGGTTTAATTTTGACCCAGTTGGTTATGTTTGGGGGGATGATAATTTGACACCCGAGAAACCATGGTGTAGCTGTGGGGATTGGAAAACCCCTTTCTCGCACCATTTTTTTTCGGCTGTGTTGAACAGTGCGATGAGATTGTTCACTTGATGAATGATTATTCCAATAAAATCCCATCCCTTTAATATTGAACACCCCATGTGTATGGTCCCAATGGAATGTGGAATTTCCCCACATCCACCATGGTTTTTCACAAGACTGGCGAGGCGACGGGGCAGCTGGAAGAGATCTTCCAGGAGATATATAAAGCTGCCTTGTCGTTCCACAGAATCATAGTAATTTAACATTGAAAATGGCCATTTATAGTGGATTTACCCATTGAAAATGGTGATTTTCCATGATTTTTGCAAACTTTTGTGGGCCATGTGAATCTTTCTTTGGGAAGCATCAAAATCATGAAACATGACCCTGGCCGCAACTGTCTTGTACTCACTCTCTATCTTCCCCCATGGTTCCTCAACACCAAAAAGGACCCGTCCCATCGTGAAAGCATCGCTGAGAAGAAACTCAGTGAAATTACATCTTCGAACGAGGTGCTGCCCGGTGCTGAAATGTTTGTGGAGGGTCCACCGGTTACACAGAGGCTGGTAGCTCTAGACATCTCAATGCCTTTGGATATTGGTTTGTTTGAAAATCGGGTACCATCAATCTTGATCGTGTATCAATGTTTATCATCAGTTTCCCTTTTTTAGTTGCCATATGTTGCCATGATTTTGGGGCCTCAAAGTCGGCAGACACACCCCATTTCCTGCGCTCACAAGCTCACCATAGATGGCAAGTCAGGGAACCGGGTACCAGGCCATGACTTGCCTTCAATTCGGGAATGAGTATGACATATCATTTCATACTGTGGGTGGAAGAAATCCAAGGGCTGTATGATTTGCCAAGCCGGCAGCTATTCCTCACGCAGGAGAAGGCCATGCTGGAATCCACAGCAAGGGGAACCCAGTTGTGGCACACCATCCCCAAGTCATGACAAGGTGGTACCCCAGGTCGTGAACGCTAAGTTGGTGCAAATAACTCCACTTTTACTATGGTTTATAGGAGATAAATCTATTGTTCATGGGGATTATATCCTGCACTACTGACAACTTGGATTCAATTGCAATCAAGAGAACACATCAAACGCACCATTCTTGCAAGGTGTTGCTTTGATTGTCAACAGAATTGTGATATTGTGACATATTGTGGTTGTCCGACAAAAATAGAATACTCCCTGAAAATCCAGCGGTTTCTCATCCCCATAGGATCCATGGTGCTGGTATATATGCTAACATTGGGGGTATATTGATGGGATCCATGTTACCATCTATAGCAGCACCATGGATCCTATGAGATCCTATTCCAGTTTCAGCTTGCATTTTTAGAGCACCCACCGTGCAGCCATCAGGCGAGCACCTGTTCCCCAACGCTGCAGAAGCCCAGCTGCGGCCAATGCTTCTGCGAGGTGTGACCCTATGGTCGAAAGTTGATGTTCACCTCAATTGCTCATTCTAATATGAATGGGATTTTAATGGATTTTACTGGTATTTTAATGTATTTTACTGGGATTTTAATGGATTCTAATGATTTTAAAACTTGAAAAAAATGCAAAAAAAACAAGGAAAACACATGGAAAATCAAAAAGCAACACTTCAAAACTGAAAAAAAACGGAAGCAAAATAAATGGGGAAAAAAAGGAACGTCAAAAAGGGAAAAAAATGGAATTGGCCATTTGCATTTTCTTTGCATTTATTTTGCTTTCTAGATTTGCTTTTATTTTGCTTCTTTTTTGCTTTTTGCCTGGAAAAAACAAAAAAACAAAATAAAAGCAAAAAAAAACAAATCTAGAAAGCAACATAAATGCAAAAAAATGCAAATGGACAAGTCCATGGTTTTCCCATTTTTTTCCCTTTTTGACTTTCCTCTTTTCCCCCTTTTTTGTCCCTTCTATTTTGCTTTTGTGTGTTTTGGATTTTGCGATTTTGCTGATTCGCTTTTTGGTTTTTCCTTGTTTTTGCTTTTGTCGCTTTTTTTTCAAGTTTTCAAAAAGTTAGAATAAGCGGTGGTCTGGCCGACATAATCGAAAGTTAGGGAAATCATTCCATGCTGGGGGAATGGTCATCAATCCACTTATAATCCATTAATCATTAAGAGGGGATTATAATATGTTATAATTATCTATACATATATATCTGTTTGGTGGTTTGGATCATTTTTTATTTTTCCATATATTGGGAATAGTAACCCCAATTGACTTTCATCTTTTTCAGAGTGGTAGGTCAACCACCAACCAGATATGTATATATATATACAATAATTATATATATATATAATTATATATATATACACATTATATTGAATGGAATCCCATTTATGATGGTGGGATGACCAGGGGCCCCATCCCATGCAGCTTGAACCATGGCACATATTGACCCGGGAAAGCACCAGAATCTGGGGCCCACAATGCCAGAAACATCCATAAACCATACCCCCACATTACCTACTAAATGGGGAGCCAGTTGGAGCTACTAAAACATACTAAAACGAGTTTCCCAACCACATGATAGTTAAGAAGTCATCCCAAGTAGTACACGCAATTCCAGAAACTACATTTTTTGGTGTTGGTCTTCCTATTGTGGATCCCACAGTAGACTAATGACGTTGAGATGGCTCCGTTTTGTGGAGTCAAGAGGCTTCTTTCTGGGCTGGGACGCGCTCCAGATTTCGGTAAACCTTGGCTGAGTAGTTTAGTAACTCATCAAGACATATCAAGACTAATCTATCTTGTGCCATGGATATCAATAGGGATATGCATGTGATATGTACTAACCATGTGTTTTTCCACAAAGGATCCCTGGTGTTTCGACGTCACGTCGCCAGGCAGAGAAGCTCTACGTTGATCCCAACGACCTCAACCGGTGCCATGTGGCAGCGGCTGCGGCTGGAGGATCATCGTAGCAATGGATTGGTTTGTTCGGATTAGCCTCTGGCCAAATTAACCTCTGGTAAACGTTTACATTGGGATTTCATGATGGTTTTATGATGGTTTAATGGGATTTACCCGGCCTGGTAAACGTTTACATAGCTAACAGGAATTTCACCATTTTTTATAGGTAAATCCACTATTTCTATGGGCCATTTTCAATAGCAAACTGTTAAATTACCAGAGGGTATTGGGACTATCAGAATCATAATCCATCATGGACTGCGAACCCGATTTTTCACCAACCTTCAGTATAGAATGTATCTGTCAATGGATTGGTTTTGTTGGGAAAATGTAAACCGGAAAAGCCCATGATCTTACCGGGAAAATCGATGATTTCCGGTGAAGATTTTCCCCTATGAAAACCGATCCATCCAATTTAGTACGTGGTTATATAGTGGGTCAAAAGCCACTGAAGTGGATCATCTACAGTACTGAATGGCTGGTTGGTGGTTTGGAACCATGGAATTTTATTAGACTTTCCAGAAACAGTTGGGAATGGAAAAATCATCCCAACTGACCCAACTAATGAACTCCATCATTTTTCAGAGGGGTAGGTGGCTCAACCACCAACCAGATGGGGACTGAATAGCCCGGGCTTTTTTTTTCCACTGGCATCATCCTGCAAGTCCAGCTGTCCCGGATGTTGTGTGTCTCAAAATGGGCAATTTTGAAAACCAGCTGATGGCGATTTAACAGGGATAATCATGGAACAAAATGGCTATTAACATCTATTAACTATTGGATTTATGGATAATGTTGGTAAAACAATGCCATAAACCAGCCATGACTGGGAATGGTAACCATACCAGCTATAAAAATGGTGATGACTGGGGGATGGTTGATGACATGGTTTTACCCACATTATATCACCAAAATATCACTGGTTGGTGGTGTACCTACCCATCTGAAAAATATGGGTCAATGGGAAGGATGACATCCCTCTTTGTTTCAGACAAACCCAAGTCATCATAAATAGATGGTATAAAAAGAGGGATGGTATAAAAAGTGTAAATAATAATGTATAAATAGTGATTATCTATAATAATGTGATTATTGGTGATACTATTTATAAATTTCATAAATAGATGGTATAAAAAGTGTACATGTGGGTAAAACCCAATAATCACCAATAATCAACCATCCCCCTAGCCACCATAAATCAGTCACCATACACAAAGGATGCCATAAATTTTCCGCCCCTAAAATGGGGCCCAGTGATCCACAAAGGAAACCATTTTTGATCAGAGGTTTGGCATTGCGGCACTTCTGCGCTGCCGATATTGCCGATGAAATCGAGAGATTTCAACAAGAATCACACCTCCAAAAAAGAAAATAATGGATTATATTATTCATAATATATATATACATATATATATAGTATATTAACTTTGAATTAACAGATTTCCAATATATTTGTGATGGATCTACACCGATCTAGAATCTTTTTTTTTTGCCATTTGGTTTTTGGCCAGAATCTTTGAGGCTGGCTGGCAACACATAAAACCACAGCCGTGGAGGTACTGCGAGAGTTGTTGGGTGGAATACTACGGCAATCCTCCGCAGAGCAATTCTTCTGCCAACGCCTTGGTTCCAGTGGAGGCGGCTGGCGATAATGCTGGCCCTGGCTGGGCTCAGCATTGAGGAGTTGAGTTCAAGGATTCTTGGTATGTTTTAATAGGCAATCATATGGCAAAAAAAGGTCATAATGTGTGATGATATGGAGATTATATATATATATGGAAATGATATTAATTGACTATCTGTGATTGTATATGGTGATTTTTTTGATGATGATATGTATGGTGATGATATGTTTTTTCAGAGGGTAGGTATCACTCAATGGTGGATTCTCCGCCACTCCATGTTTGATGAGTTACATCCCGATGAAAAGAAAACATACCATATCCACATATCATTGAAGTATATATAATTCATGATATTATTCATGATATTAAATAAAGGTATATACATGTTGATATGATATAATGTCTAATTCAATATTCATGATACCATTGGTCTTATAATGTATATAGTTAGCCTAGGGCAATCCCGTCTTTTTACAGACCGCACCCCCTACAATACAATAGATTTTAAAGCGGTCAAAACAAAAAGATGGGATTGCTTTACCTTATAGATAATAACATAATCAACAACAAAATCATAGCAAACAAATAAAACAAAAAAACAAAACAACCTAAACAATACAATAGACCTTAAAACAAGCCTTACCATAAATCATAACAACCCCACCTTACCCATCTTTCATAGCCATTCACTGGCTACATTCTGGACAACGACACCATCTTTGAATGGTGCGACCAGCCTGTTTGCTGACTGGGTGGGGTGGATTTGCCAAGTTGTCTTGAAGGCTTGACTTTTGGTCAGAAATTCAACCAGAGCATTGAGCAAGTGATGATTTGCCAACTTGTTTTTTTCCACAGTGCGTTTTGCTACTCAAGTCTGTTTTGCCTTCTGTGCTTCACTTCTTTCTTTCGCTTGTTGCTATGGCTTTCCCTATGGCTTCTTCTTTGACCTTGGAGTTTGGTGATTGGAGTGATGCCGACAGCATTGGTGAAGTCAGTGCTTACGGCAATGCCTCGGTGTCTTCGGGAAGCACCTGTGCTTCTGGTGTTGAGTTCTTTGGAAACCGCCAAAGTCAGAGGCAATACCTTACCAACCTCCTCACAAGTGATGAGGAGAGTGATGAGGAGAGCGATGAGGAAGAAAACTGTAATGTGGTGATGTTTGAGGGGACGGATGCTTTAGCCCTGAAACCATCCCACATCAACTTCCTTGTGTATGACATCATTGACTGTGCCACCTATGAGTTGTTGGTTGCGCGTAAAATTTCCCAGAGGCAGAGCAACCCTGACTACTACACCTTGGAGGTGGCAGGTATGGAGATGTCGCCACAATATCATATGAGTATGTATCTTCATCGTATTGGCAACCTTGACTACGACGAACTCATCGACCACAAACCCTTTGAGGCTCAGTTTGTCTTGATTGGGGATGACCGTGGCAGGGTGAAACGCAAATTCACTGGATTGAGAGACATTGCTTATGTGAGGCGCTGGTTGTGCCACCAAGTCTTTGAGGGAGTTGACTTGGATGACATCAGGGTTCTTCAAAAACACGAGGAACTTGAAGATGACGACGAGCAACTCCGCTATGTCTTCAATTTGACTTCCAACATTGCCGACCCCTACGGCTTGTATGAACTACAGGTGATGTTGAGAGGCAGGGGTGGAGGAAAGCGGAAGTTTGAGGATGTGATGGAAGAGGTGAATGACAAGGTTGTCAAGATTGCTTCCAAAATGTCAGCAGACAGCCAGTTCAAAACAGAACTGGATGTTTTTTTCAAAAAGTTGGAGAGCAACTCATCGGGCACACCCATTGCTGACATCGTCCGCAATATGAACCCTGATGAGTTCCAAAGTCTCTATGGCAACTACTGGAATGACACACAGGCAAATTTCCTTCGCTTTGTTCCCAACATTGCCGAAAACTTGACACCATTGATGACAAAGATTGTCGAAACAGAAACGGATGCCAGTGATGCGAGACAAGCACTTTGTGCTACTCTTTGTGGTTTCTTTGCCAAGGAGTTCAACAACGGCAAGGAGGTAAAAAACTCCATCTTTGAGGACATCTTGGAGAACCAGAAGAGCAAGCACGAGGAAGACCAGAGGGTTGAAGCACGCGCCCAGCAGCTGATTTTGGAGCGTCAGAATGCTTCAAGCAATGGAGATGTCCCAATGAATGGATGAAAACACCAATTTTCAGACCCTGAAAACGGACAAAACCCATTTTCAAGCATCGAAAACACCCATTTTCAGACCTTGAAAACACCTGTTTTCAGACCTTGAAAACACCTGTTTTCAGACCTTGAAAACACCCGTTTTCAGACCCTGAAAACGCACAACATCCATTTTCAAGCACTGAAAACGCACTTTCAGACCCTGAAAACACCCAAAATCCATTTTCAGACACTAAAAACACCTGTTTTCAGACCTTGAAAACGCCCATTTTCAGACATTGAAAACAGAATTGGTTTCTCCACTGCTTGGGGCATCGCTTGATTAAGTGCCTGCTACAATGGTAGTTTTTGGCACACATTATTTTATCACAAACTATTTAATCACAGGGTATTACATCACAATGTTTCAAATCAAAACGACCGTTCATCGTATAGGGGAATGGTCATTTAGTCCGAGCCCTGACGAAGTTTTTTGTGTCTCGTTCAAACTGATTTAATAAAAGCCTTTTTGACAGGCTAATTAGAAGGCAACATACCGTCAAAGCCGCGTGCTTGAAAAAAATGATTGCGGATACACTGGGCGTTCCGTTTTGGTTGTGGAGATTGTGGCAACAGATTTGAAACACCAACTCAAAAACATCATCCAAATATTGACTGCCAATCACACCCGCCCGATGGCAGGTTGATGACCAGCTCTACAGTAGTTGCGGGCTCTCAGATGGTGATGATGGATGATGATAATAATGAAAATGATGAAGATGAAGATGAAGATTTCAACTTTTCTTGGGGGTAGGATTTCCCGACACTTGGGGATATATAAATATATCACATACCCACATACCCCCCATACACACATAATATATTTATCCCTTATTCATTCACCCCCTTGACCTGTTCAGAAGGTTCGGCAACAGTCTGGCACTGGTCTGGCACTGGTCTGGCACTGGGTTGAATGGGTTAAAATATATAAATAGATAGATATATATTTATATTTATCTATCTATCTTTGACGAAGGCTACGCCACAACTGCTGAACCCATAGTGGCAAGGCGCAGTATTTTTGTGTGGCAAGGCGCAACTAATTAAAGCACACAACATTTACAGCAGTCATAATTTCCTGAACCAATGCTTGAGGTATTCTATACAAATCCTTCTGTTTAAACAAGGTGTAATTTTCTTTCCAAAATTCCTTTTTCCCACTAGGTGCTCTTTGCGCTGTTTCCTTATTCCTATTCCCATCCATCATTCCACAATCTTTTTTACAGAGAGGTCTAGGTGTCCAAGTCTTTAGATTACACCAAAGCCTAGTGCGTTTCCTGTATGACATCCCATATTTACAATAACCCACATCAAAGAATGGCAAACCCTCCATAAATGGTTGCTTCTTCAAAAGCCCCGACTGGGGATTTTCTATGAACCAAATGCGCGGGTTAAAGTATTTGATTATCTCAAGCGCTTTCAAAACGATGGCATTAGCCTCATCAATTTTTCGCGTTCCAACCGTTTTCGCAATGCTATACTCAATACAAGGGGGAGAAGCCCAAATCATATCGTAGTATTTCACAGGATATTTTTTGTATTTCCATTGTAGTATATCGCAGTTTATATCAGCCCCTTTTAAATCTAATGAGACAACATCCCATCCCATATCTTTCGCAACAGTTCCCACACTACCAGTTCCGCTAGACAATTCAAGTAATTTCATATAATCTATATATGAAATTATTGATGAAACATACGCGTTTTTTTATCACTCCATCATTTTAAACACCTCACCATCCCTTTCAATCTTGTAAAACTCAAGTGTCTGCGACTTAGGCATTTTGATTTTGCCTTCATTCAGCACAGCCAGCCAGATACTGTTTCTGCTTTGTTTCATAAGTCCCAGCCGGTCTTCCCACCTGCTTTTTCTCAAAGATTTTATCCATCCTTTCTTTCTCAGCATCAGCATCATTATCATTACTTGATTTATTTTTCACTAGTATATCAAGTTTTTCTATTGCCTTGTTCATTAAGTCCATCAGTGTTTTGACATTCTTGTTATACCTAGTCATCTTGTTCAACATTTCAGCCATTTCAGGTTGTTTATCATCTAAATCAATCATTACTATATATTAATTATTTAGATATTTATTTATTTATCAGTTGAAAGTGTGTTATAATCACTCTTTAAATGGTTTTCAACTCCAACATAGTTGGAGTTCAAAAGAGCATCGTGCTGTTTTCAATCCATATCATTTATTGCCATTTGTTTTTTACTACCACTACTACCCATTACATCACTTATCATTCTATTAGTGCTCTCAGTTTTTTTGTCTTCTGGGGTGACTTGCCTGTTCCACGAAAAACTAATGCTGTGGTCTTCACTCTCTAAAACTATCTCCCCGTTGTCATCCCTGCTGACATTCATTGTTTTATCATTTCTACTGAGTTTAAAACTACAAGGGTTACAAGAACATTTTATCCCTTTAGGGTCAATTGAAATTTCATTTCTCATTTGTAACTTACAGCCACACATAGGACAATCAAAGGTGATAAATTTGCTTGTTAGTTTTTGTTCCTCATCCAGATTTATTGTGGTGGGTTCTTCATCTGATAGTTCAAAATCTTCAGATATTGGTTGCTTCTTGATTTTACTACTCATCTTTGGTTTTACTTTCTTTGGTGGCATCTATATAATACTTAAGATAATTTATAATTACCTTCAGAAACTCCAGCATTACCCTGAATATCTGTTTAAGTTTATCATCTTTTACAATTGGAAATTTAGTATCATCAATGACACTATCTTCAATCACATCTATTGTATTGATATAACTATCATAATCACTCATCCTATATAATTAGATGATAAAATTACTACTATCTAATTATATATGGAATTTTAGGCGCAAACAAAAATCCATAAGGGGCGGTAGCTAAATGTCAAAGAAAATGAACTGTGCTGATTGAAACATAGCATCAAACAAATTCAATAGCAAAAAGGCTTCAAATATTCTACTGCTTGTTGTCATAGCAAAAAGAGACCGTGTCGGGAGTGAAAAAGAAGCAAGAGCCCAAGGGTGGATTTTTTATTTTTAATTAACATTCTTATGATGGGCATAATGGCACTCTGTTCCATATTCTACCGACCCCTATTCAGGTAAAATAAGATATGCCATTTACAATGAATATTAGAAATTAATTTCTAAATAATTTATATATATGAAAAAACTTGCTGTTCCCAAGATTGAACCTATCAATGTTAAACAGTATGAATTCAAATTCAAACAATCACCCTACCCACAAGCAGACAAACTACCATTCAGAAGCATCATTGTATCGGCATCACAGGGTGGAAAGGGTATATTAATTCAGAACCTCATTCTAAAAATCTACAGGGGGTGCTTTGAGAGAATATACATTGTATCACCGACAGCACACATAGATGAAGCATACAAAGAAGTAATCCGATACATAGAGAAAGAACTAAAAATAGACAACAAAAAAGAGCAATATTTGTTTGATGAGTATGACCCTGAAAGTCTGGCACACATCATAGACACACAGCATAAAGTGATAGAATACCAGAAGAAAAACAAGATGAACAAGTTATATAGTTGTTTGTTAGTAGT